TCCAACAAAGTAAAAGTTCCAGTTTCTCCACATTCTCACCAACATTTGATGTTGTAAGTCTTTTACATTTTTATTATTTGGCATTTTAATAAACAGATGTATTAGGGCTCTCCAGAATCACAATCATGGTGTGTGGGTGGAGAGAGAGAGAGACTATTTATTATAAGGAAATGGTTCATATAATCAAGGAAGTTGAGAAGTCTCATAATCTGCCAGAAATCCCAAGAGAACCCATTGCCTTTAGTTCCAGTTCGAGACTGAAGGCTTGAGAACCAGGAGAACTGATGGAAACATGTGAGCCTCGAACCCCAGAACAGAAAAGTCTGGAGTCTGAGTTCAGGAAAGCAGTGTTGAAAGAGACAGAAGCCAGAACTCCTGGGCCTTTCCCTAGTCCAGAATGTTCTCCAGGAGAGCAGCCCTTACCTCAGCAAATCATAGTAGTAATTTCCAGAGGGGTAGGAGAGGGGAATGGATACCTCTGCTCTTGGGGACACATCTCTGCAGTAAAGAGAAAAAAAAAAAAAAGTCATCCCGTGTTACTTCTTGCTCTGACATTTGCAATAAGTCCCACTGGATTGAATTCATTTAGTCATGTCTCATTTTACCGACATGAAGCACTACCAGGATGAAAATCAGGAACTGGACAGTAGGGATGCATTGTTGGGGGGTAGGGCTCTCTGAGCCCCTAGGTGAGAGGAGTCCCCACTCGCCCCCCTCCTCCCCCCTCAGGACAAGAGGTCCTGCCTGGATGGCATGGCTTCATATTCCCTGGTTGCTTTTGATTCCTCTCTGTTTAGGTGATCCCAGAGACACGCAGAACTGGGGCAGCGTTAAAATAGCGCATCAGCATAGAGGGAGGGTCAGGGAGGGAACTGGGGCAACGTGCAGAGCACAGGTCCCAAGAAATCAGGTCTTAAAGGAGAAGGTTGCAGATTTGCAGAATGAAAAGTAAATGGTCCCCGGAGCACAAGAACTTTATTTTTTATTGCAAGATAAATGCTCAAGAAGATTGGGAGAGTTATAACTTGAGCCAGTTGCTGCTGTCCTGGCAGTAAAAAGGAGCCAAGACCCTGCACTGGGTGGCAAATACAGGTTTGTCACCTCTGTTCCCTGGTCTCTGGTCCCATTGAGTAGTCCCCTCTTAGACAGGACACGGTTGAATGACAGGAAGCAGCTGGGTTCTTCTGGCTGATCAAACTGTCCTCTGCTCTTCTGACTGTATAACCTTGAGCTGGTCTCTTGGTTCACTCCCGTCACTTTGTCGGTGTCAAATTGTAGACACAACATGTGCAGGGCACTGCCTCTGAAAGTCAGTCAGATGGAAGAGAGGAAGGCAGCGGATGCAGTTACTGTCTGTCCACCTGGCTTCCAGGGCAATGGGTAAGGTCTGGTCTCAGGTGCAGTTTCGGGGTCTCCTGGGGACTCCACCTATTGCTCTCTCTCGTGAGGGAAAATCAGGCATCTCCTATCTGCTTCTTGAGTGCCGATGAAGGTCTCAAGAAATTTAACAAAAATCGTGTCAGTTGGACAACTTTGCAGGACTGATTTTAATTTGATTTGGATTGTTTTCCAAAATGGGTATCAACATTTCTTTAGACATCTAACCTTTAAATAGCTCATGGAGATCACAGAATTTATCATTCCATAGGGCTGTTGGTGTTGAATGGTGCCGGGATAATTATGAGAAAAAATTGGGGCAGCAGAGGAGTAGAATCCATCTTGATCACCAATGATCTTTTCAGGAAAGAAGGAGAGAAAGACATTAGTTTTTCCCTTAGCTCTTCAAAGTTTTCTATTTTTCTTACCTGTTGCCTTTTAATTTCTATTTAAAAGGTAATTTGCAAACTCAGCATCTCACAGCCAGTGCTGTAGGCTCGGGGCCAAGTGGAAAGCAAAATTCGGTCCTTCCATATTAACACAATTCCCGGGCGGGGTGCGGTGGGGGTGAGGTGGGGGTGAGGTGGGGAGGGTATTGTTTTAGTTTATGGAATTATCCAGGACTGTGGGGACTTCAGGAGAAATTGGGACTACATGGGAGATTTGAAGTATTTAGTAATAGTGGTGCCTGTGGCATTTCGTTGTTTCTGCTGTGTAACTCCTGCTAGTCACACGGCTTGGCGAGGTGCACGCTGGCTGTCAGACTTCCTGGGTGTTTGTGCCAGCTCTGGTTGTCTTGGGCAAGTGACTTTCCTTGATGTCCTCTTCTGCAAAATAGAGTTAATGTTGGTACCCACCTCATACTATGCCAACGGGAAGACATGTAAAGCCCAGTGGTTGCCCATGGTAATGGCTCAATAAACGTGACCTGTTATTATCGTGTGCAAGAGTGGGTTCTGTAGAGGTTAACAGGGACCGTGGTCCACATTGGCTGTAGGAAAGTGCCATACGAGGTGCTCTGGAAGTTCAAAGACATCCGATAGAATTCGCAAGCAAACTGACCACCCTCTCGCACACTGCATGGTCTCGGCCTGTGCACCCTATGTTCCATCACCCTATCTCTCAGCCCCCAGATCCTTCCCCCAGTCTTCCTGTTTCTTCCTCCTCGTCAAGGGCTGCCTGTGTGATGATGAGGCTACTACATACATGCTTTTTAGCATGCTTTCAGGTTTTTTATTTCATTGTCTTCTAGCAAGAGTAAGGTAAATGACTATTTTTAGGAAACTGAGGTCGAAGGAGGATAGATTATTGCCAAGGTTTTCAGGCCAGAAAAATCAGGGTATCTTTGCATTTCCCATGACGTAATAGAGTTCGAGTTATGTCTTGAGCCTTACCCCCCGCCCCCTCCCGATAGTGATCTAAGTGGTCCTAACTGTGCTTTTGCTGGAATGTAGGTCTCTTCCTACTATAGTGGCATGTCCTCCCAATCCAACTCTTTCTTAAAACCCTGTTCTGAGGTATGTCTTCCCAGTAACCTAGTAATTAACTCCATTCTGAAACTACCTACCTGGAGATAGCACCAGATCCCTCAGGTGAAGGGCTCAGTCCCATAAGACTGCCTTCCCCACTCCTATCAAACACCAATTGCAAGTCCAGGTTGTCATCTGTGCTTCCAACCAACTGGCTATTAATCAATCAGAGGTTCCCACAACCCCTTCCTCACTTTCATGCCGTTTGTTAGAGCAGCTTACAGAACTCAGAGAAACATCTCATTGCTAGACTAGCAGTTTGTTATAAAAGGGTATAACTCAGGAACAGCAGGTGGAAGAGATGTACAGGACATGGTATGAGGAGAGGGCTCGGAGCTTTCATGTCTTCTTCAGGGGCACCCCTCTCCCTGAATCTCTCCGCGCTCATCAGCCTGAAAAGCTCTCTGATCCCTGTCCTTTTGGGACATAAAAATGATCAGTGACGACCCTCGTAGACCTTCTTGTTGGGTGGCTGCTTCCCAGCCCTTTAGCTGTAACTCCTTTCCTGCACTCGATGAATCACATCGGGATCCAGAGATTGGCTAATGCCGTTATTGCGATAACCATGAATCTGTTCTAAGTTACCAGGAAAGTGAAGAATGTCTGAGGTGTAAGGTTTTTTATTAGTAACAAATCACTTTAACACCTAGCAGTGTCTGTGTCAGGACCCGGTCCAGAACTCATTGCAGCCGCCCTGGCCTGCCCGCAGCCCTGGGCCCTGGGCCTGCAGACAAAGTACTGACTTAGCAAGTTTAAAGTAGACACATCCTGTAGCCACTTAAATTGTTGCAAAATTGGTATTTTGAGTCAGAAAAGAAGGTGAGCCAGCCTCTGAAGAAAATGAGGCAATCTAATCTTCTGGTGGCTGGTCATTCTGTGGGATGCTATTTGATATAAATATAGGTTTATTTGCAGAGAGCAGGTCCAAGGTTGCCTGAGTAAGGCCGCGTGGAGAGGAAAGACGTTGGTCCCGGAGCAGCTGTCAGTTCACACGAACTCCCAGCCTTTTATCTGTTTCATAAGGGATGTCACTGATCGATATTACTGGCATCTAATAAAATTGTGCATGGAACATTCTGATTGAAAATTAACAGAAGAGCCAAATCTTCACAACAATAGTTTAATAGTATTGAATCTTTTGGTAGAATTGGGAAAAAATCCATTGAAAATAGTTTCAATAAAAGTAAGATGGGGGAATTTGGAATAAGTTTATTGGGTTTTATAAAAATAGCTCTGGCAATGCTCAGTAGTTAGAGTGTTGGCCCAAGTATTGAAGTGTGTCGGGTTTGATTCCCAGTCAAGAGCACATCCTTGGGTTGCAGGTTTGATCCCCAGACCTGGTTGGATGCATGTGGGAGGCAACCAATCTCTATGTCTCTCACATTGATGTTTCTCTTCCTCTCCCTCTCCCTTTCCCTCTCACCCCCCCCCCCCACTTGTCCCCACCTCTCCCTTCTATTCTCCTTGGGTGAGGATTAACAATAAAAATAATTTATAAAAAAATAAATCAAGGGACATGTTTGCTTCATGGAGTTCAGCTCAGAAGATTCTCAACTGAAATCTTCAATACCGATAGAATTCTGATGAAACCCCTTGGTTGTATAGACAGTCCACACTGGTGAATAGAACCCTGTGCTTGCCTGGTGTTGTGAAACAGCTGTTAACTCTCAGTGGCATATGGCCAAGGCACGCGAGGCATTTGGGAGCACTCTGGCTTGCACACTTAGGTTCAAGGGCTGTGAAGTGAAAGGGTGTTCAAGGCTTTGTTGTTCAAAGACAGATTATTTAGTTGCTCTGATTTGATGCCTACCTATTCCTATTGCCCCTTAGGCAAGGGTCTAAAAGAAAATAAAACTCAAATTAGCTGTTGGTGACTTCTGATAAATTTCAATGACGAGCATATGACTGGGAGAGCATGGGTGAATAAATGGTAATCAGGGGCTGTGATAAAATAACAAAATTTTGGGTGATTTAATGAAGGAGAAATCAAGTCTAAAATGTATCACATGGCCATAGTCACTTAGGAGTATCTACATTTATCATGAATATACTTAGTTTAGAGAAAACATTTCATCCTGTTTTCCTCTTTTTCAGGTTTCAAGTGCCCCATTTGCTCCAAGTCTGTGGCTTCCGATGAGATGGAAATGCACTTTATAATGTGTCTGAGCAAACCTCGCCTCTCCTACAATGGTAAGCGCTTGGCTGGGAGCTTCTGAGTGAGGTCTTCCCAACCTCATGTGCCTCTGGGCAGCATTTCCACCGCCTTCCGGCAGGAATAGCCTGGGGACACCTGACTGTTAGGAAGTCTTGCTGTGCCAATCAGAGACGAAGAGCAGTGGGACAAGGAAGGAAGGCCCAGGGGTCAGGTCCATGGTACCAGGAGGTCTCTTGGGTCTCTCAATCTCTCTGCCCTTTTTCTGACCCCTTGGTTCCTTGGAGCTCAGGTTGAGTGATAGAGCTCTGCCCATTCTCACACCTGACAGCAGAGGGTGTGACCTCTCCTCGGGGGACGGGGAGTTTGTGCCACTGGTTCGCATGGAGTGCTTAAGCCCTGGCTCTGCAAAGCAGAACGGGTGCAAGATGTGGACACCCTTAGGGAATTAAAACAATGAGCTGCCACCTGGTCACTCCTGCCATGGAACCTGCCTCAGAGCTGAGCAGTGAATACACAGGTAGGAAACTGGGCCAGGGATTCCATGAAACCCTGAGGGGCACCTCTGTGGACGAAATGAGTGTCATCATCTGCCCGGTATGCCGTAGAATAGGATTTGGAGCCTGGCTGATCTGAATTCAAAGCCCGCTGCAACCACTTACTATTATCCTAGACAAGTTGCTCAGTTTAGCAGAGCCTACGTTTTCTGGCCATAAAATGGGGATAACGATACCTAGTTCTTAGTATTTTTGTCAGGATAAAGTAAGATATCCTCCTATATAATAAAAGGCTAAAATACAAATTGTCCTCTCAACCGGGAGTTCAACCAGGATTTTGACCAGGAGTTTGACCAGTGTGTGGGGCCAGCTAGCCAACGACCTGAGGCCCTCCTTCTTCCTCTCCACTCCCAATAGGCCGGATTGGGGGCAGGCCAGACCCCACCCATGAATTTGTGTACTGTGCCTCTAGTTACATATAAAACCCTTCAGCACAGAGCCGGCACATGTCAGTGCTCAGGAAGTTACAGCAGCCCCGAAAGAGGTGAGACCATCTTGGGTTTCTTTTTGTCATTTTGTGGAGTGGACTGGACTGACTTCTCTTTAGTGCTGCTAATGGCTCTTTGGTTTCCCATCTTTTATTTTATTTTATTTTTTTTATTGATTTTAGAGAGAGAGAGAGATGTTAACATCAATGATGTGAGAGAATCATTGATTGACTGTCTCCTGCACAACCCCACTGGGGATCGAGTCACAACCCGGGCATGTGCCCAGACAATGATCTCCTGGTTCATGGGTCTACACTCAAGCCCTGAGCCACGCCAGCTGGGCAGTGGTTTTCCATTCTTATGTGCTCAGTTCGGGCTTCCAACCATGTTCATTAGAGAATGTGTCCTCCACGAGCACAGGTACTGGATCTGAGTGGGACGCACCCTGACCTGGCACTGGGCCCGCCTTCTAGGATTAGAGTCACAGCAGAGCTAGGAAGGGAGCCCTGTGACCTCTCAGGGGATCTGAGGACTGGGCAGGAGGTGAGCCTGGATTGCTTGGCCCTGTCCTCATGGCGAAAGTTTGCTGGGTAGACTCTTTACAGACCTGTCCTTGGGCTCTGGCCTTCCCATGCCCTCCTTCCTCCACCCAGCATTAGCCCAGGGAGGCCTGGGGATTCCAGATTTTTCCTATGAAATGAACCTGACAAAGCGAACCCATTCACTTCTGAAAACACATCCTAATGTTCTCCTCTCTTGTTTACTTGCTCAGCCAAAGGCTCTGGGTGCATGTGTGCGGGGTGGTTACTTGCTGCCTCAGCTATTTGCAGTCTGGTAGGAGGCCCAGCCGCGGGCCCTATCTCTGTCCCCAGAGTTTCTCTCCCCTTCACATTCTCCTGGCGTCCAGGAGCCCCTTCGTCTCCCCAGCGGACAGCCTCTCGCTGTCCCTGCAGTGTCTGAATCAGTTGTCACGCGCACTCTGGGCTTCACGGTGGACTTGTCAGTGTGCGTCCCCCGGAGGCTGCTCTAGCTCCTCTTTGTCCTGCTCCTCGTCGCTGCCCGGGACCACGGCGGAGAGTCTTCTCCCCAGCCACGGCCTCAGAAACGGCTCCTAATTTCCCACACTGCACAGAGCCGCATGAAGACCGCTTTTTGTCCCGTGGGTTGCTGGGAAGAGTCGCCGTAGACACTGCCTGTGTCATAAGGACACAAAGCCACCTCAGAGTGGGCTCGCCCGAGAGGGCTAGGCTCCTGGTGTCACCAGGGACGACCTCACAAAGGCAGTTGTAGAGGGCAGAGTGCTCTTGGGGCCACCTGAGAACGGGGTACCACTGGTCCCATATGGAGAATGGGCAACAGGGGCTCTGTCCTGGAGAACTGCCAGGCTGCCCATTGGTCTCCTCCCTGCGCAGCCGTGGGGAAGGGTCTCCTCTCCTTCACCTTCACCTCCATAGGAGAGAGGCTTTGGCAGCCCCTGTGGTCTGAGCACAGGTCCTCCGCAGAAGCCACACTCAGTCAGAGTCCCCATAGAGGACAGGAGGTTGGCTGGCCAGCCTGAGGCATCACTGGCTGTTCCCATTTTTTCTCTCCTCCTCAGTGTGTGGTGTGTGTGTGTGTGCATGTGTACATGCACACACATGCAAGCTAGAGGCTTTAAGCTCAAGAATCTCCTTTGCAAAAGCCAGTGCTTTACCACGAGAGGGCGTGTTGCATGGGTCCTATCAGTGGAATTGGCCATAAGGTGCTGAGGTGCTTCAGAAACAGTGGTCTGGCCCCTCTGTGTGCACCGTTAGTGTGAAAGGAGGCTTGGATTGGACTCCTCATATTGTCTTTCCTTTCTGAAGACACCTAGACTTTCAGGTAAGAAGGCGTTGGCCCCCTGGGATTTGTACCTGCAGTGGGAGTCTCCAGGGCTGGCATATGTCTTGCACTTGTTCAGATAAAGCATGGGCCTTTCAGGGTCCACAGGTCAAAGCCCCAGGCAGGACCTCTAGATATTTATTTTGGTTTTGCCAGTAACATATCTCACCCAGGATTTCTTACCACACCAACCTCCCGACTTCACTTTATCTTTTCTGATTAAAAGAAGTGAGGAGACTTAGAAAAGTCTGTGAAGCATAGAACTCGCAGAATCTTTCTGGAAAGGGGGCAGGGGGAGACTTACCCAGTTAGAGAGAGAGATGCTATTTTCTCACGAAGATTCACTAGCACTCCTGCTCTCTGCCCTGGAGGTCTCCCCTCTACGCACACACGTACACTTTCTGTACTTGCTGGCACCAGTTGGGGATTTTCGAAGAAAATTTGCAGTGGTTATAAAAGATGAAATTTAGTTAACCACCAAAGGGAAAAAAAGTAGAAACCTCCTAAATGAGGCGGACAGAAAGTAGTATTTTTCTTATTATGAGGGTTGGCCTGAGCCACCGGTTGGAAGGCCTCCAGTAGCCGCCTGCCAGATTAAAACACACACCAAACACTTCAGCAAAGACAAGACTAGTTCAACTGGTTTGCCCGGTGCTCAGGAGAAATGCAGAGTCCTGTAACCTGTGCTGGGGCAGGTGCTAACCCCTGCTGGAGGGCCAGAGAGGGCGCCAGGCCCCAGAACACTGCACCTTCCATCGCTCCTGCTCCTCTCCCAGGGCAACTCAGAGCCCAGGCCTCCTAGGAGATGAGGAAGGAGTTGGAGAGACCCATTTTTGTGGGTAAATGTGGTCAGCTTGAATGGGACTTTTCACTTCTCTCCCTTTCCAACATCTGTTTGTGGTTCTGAGACTGGGGGAATTTGCCCTCAAGAATATGTACTCAAAATTTTACTAACAAATTACTCGGCTAGCAGAGTGAGCCTCAAGGCGGGGAACCTGATTTTGCTATGAACACATGAGAGTCAGATCCTGAAAGCATAGGAGGCCCTGGTTCCAGGACCAGCCAGGGGCTCTTGGCCCTGGAGAAGCCTGGTGTGCGGCAGGTTCCATTGCCATCGGTGTTAGGAGAGCGTGGTGGTGCGCAGAGCAGCTTCAGAAGTTTCTCCTTGGCTTTAAAAATTTTTTAAATATGTTTTTATTGATTTTTTTTTTTAGAGAGAGAAGGAGAGGGAGAGAGAGAGAGAGAGAGAGAGAGAGAGAGAGAGAGAGAGAAATAGAGAGAAATAGAGAGAAACATCAATCAGCTGCCTCCTGCGTGCCCCCTACTGGGGATCGAGCCAACAACCGGGCATGTGCCCTGATCCAGAATCAAATGGCAACCGGTGCATGGAACAGCATTCAACCAACCGAGCCACACTGGCTAGGGTTTCCCTCAGCTTCCTTTTGGGAGTGCGGACCCCATGCCCTGCTCCTTCAAGATTCTGACTACCCTTCCTCTTATCTGCCAAAGGTCATTGTCCCCTACCTCAGGCCTCTTGAAATACTGAATGTCACACAAGGTTTAAAGGAGAGAGAATTGGGTTCCTCTCAAAGCAGGAATACCTGCTGCTAGTTTACCCCTAGCTGAGCCAGCAGGCCTGAGCAAGTGGTGCTTTTTTGGCCTGTGTATCCGCTGAGGCCCTGTATTTGGAATGGTAATGCCTTTTCTTGGGTCTGGGGAAGCCAAGTCCCGGCCGAAGGTTTGCCTAGTCCAGGAGGGCGCTGCCAGGAGCAGTTGTTAGATGCTACAGCAGCTGTTGAGTCCGGCAGCAGAAATGTCTGGCCTGGTGTTCCTCCTGCAGAAGGAAAGGAGGAAGGTGCTCCCAGCAGCTGCAGATTGGCAGGCGAGGCTGCTGGGGGAGTGAGGAGTGGGGTGGGTGGAGGCCAAAGGAGGGGGCTGAGTGGGTGGTTGTGGGAGCTTCTGTAAATCAAAACCCTCTGGCCTGAGCTTCAGTGGTTCATCCCTCTGGGGTGTTGCCATTGCAGCCCACCTCGCCAACACAACTGGATCACACCTCACAGTTCCGGGGTCCTGAGCTGAAGATGATGGTGGGGGAACTCACTCTGCTAAAAATCTCCCCTTTGCCCAGAGACTCCGCAGGAATGGAGCTGGCAAGTTTTTGGTTTTGGTTTTGGTTTGTTTTTCAGAGAGAGGGAAAGAAAAAAAAACATCAATGATGAGAGAGAATCATTGATTGGCTCCTCCTGCATGTCCCCTTCTAAGGATCGAACCTGAGACCCTTCTCTCCAATGCTCTATCCACTGAGCCAAACCATCCAGGGTGAGCTGGCAGGTCTTGGCGTTGGTGGCACTGCCCCTTCCTGTCCCTCAGGAGACTGAGGCCAGCAGCGTGGTGCATGCTGAGAAGCTGCAAGACCAGGTTTTCTGCACCTAGGCTGGAAATGAGGCCAGGGGGTGGAGCCTGTTCTGTCATTTGCTGGGGTTCTCCCTCTGGCTCCCACCTCACTTCCTACCAAGGCCTTGCCTGGCATCGGGTACAAGGGGAAACATACTGAACATTCCCGCACTCGGCTGCTGGCTGTGCGCTGCACATCAGCCTTCCCTCCTGGCTGCTGGCAGGAATGTATCTGTAGCTGTTCGGGCTTCCCCACCCCCTCCTTGTCACCAGGAGTTCTGGGGTCCCATTTTGGCTCTAGAGAACTTTGCCTATCACTCTGGTTTGGTTCCCTGGTCTGGTTGGAGGGTTAGGCATTGGAACCATTTTGTACCACCTCCAGTCAAGGCCAAACACTTCCAGAGCAGTGATGTTGGCCTTGCCCAAGATATCAAGACGCTTGGGAGGGGGTTGGGAGGCGGTGAGAGAAAGGCAGAAAGCACAGCGTTGTTCCTGTGCTCATCAGCCGGCATTGGTCGGCTCCTCCTCGGGACCTTGGGGTGCTAAGGGGCATTTGAGTTCATCTGCAGAGCAGCCTCAGCTTGTGCCAGGCCCGGTGTCCTTGCTTTGTGCTGTGAGGTCCTCCCGCAGTGGGCAGCGGGCTCCCATCTGAGAGGAATCAGCTGATAGCCAAGCTTCCGCTTCCGTCATTTTCCCTTTCCTGCTTGGCTCCCAGGGACATCTGGGGGCCGGTGATTTCCAGGGCCCCAGGGATTGGGACAGGAAGTTTTACTCAGCCCACTCAGGCATGTTCCTGCCTTTCACTGTGAGAGAAGGCTGCCTCCCTGGACTCTGTGCTGGGTGTGAGCACCGCTGGCTTCCCCACGCAGTCAGGTCCCAAGCCCCATCCCAGCAACCTCCAGGCAGCCTTTGGGTTTACAGACAGAGAAAATGACCACAGACTCTCCAGGGGCCAAGCAGCTGAGAGTGGCTGTTCTCCCAGCTCCTGTGCACGGGAACTGACGTATGGGGTTGGCTTTATCTTGGGCTTTTCCCTCAGGCTTCCTGGTGAGGGGCTTTGAGTCACCATAGCCTTCTAGGCCCTGAGGAATCCTCATTTCAGAGGCCCCAGATACTGCTCTTTACAACCAAGTAATCAGAGGGCAGTGTAGAAGGGTGCCAACTAGAGGGTCCCCCATCTGCACGACCTTTCGTGAGCCCTGTGACTTAGGCAAGATGCCTGACTTCTGGCTTCAGTATCTTCATAAAGTGAGAACACATGTGCCCTGCCTGCCTGGCTCCTAAGATTGTGAGGCTGAAGTGAACACACACAGGAAACCTCAGTATGTCTCATGGACAGCATCACGAACAGTTAAAATCTTAGTAGTGGAGAACTGGTCCTGTTTTAAGCTCTTCTTTCTTCGCATCCATAAGCCTGCTCTCTCGGTTTTTCTCCTGTGGCTTTGAGAACTTCTGGTAACCTGTGCTTACGTCCCCTCTTTCACCAGCCTTTCCGATATTAAGGTTGACCTAGGTTTGTATTCGGCTTTCTTTGGGTTTCATTCGAAACTTTCTTCCCAGTTGACCTCTATGCCTCATCTATAACCTGTCACCCACATCTCTCTTCTAAATCCCAGATGATCAACCCATACACCAAGGGGTGGCAGGTTCAATTCCTGGTCACCCCATGGCCCAGGAGTCTGCACCTGCCCTAGCAAACCTCCTGCCGGTCCCAGGAGGTTTGCTAAGGCAGGAGCAGATATTGTTCCCTTTTCCTGGAATATCCTTTTCTGAACAGTCTCAGCCCAGTTAGACATTTTTCATACCTCTCATACCTGGGCCTATGTGCATCATAAGACTTCCTAGAAATTGCTGTGCTATTCATTTCCGTTTTCTTGTTTAGACTCTGAGCTTCTCGCATCCTGAGGTCGTGGCTTATTCACTGAGTCACTAGTGCCCAGAATGTCTTAGACATCTGGTAGAGAACTGCTAACAGGCTGCGGTGCTCTTCCTGTCCTGCTCGGCTTTTGCTGGGGCCCATGGTGTGCAGTGGCTTCCTTCCAGTCACTCTTTTTTGTGGGGGCGGGGGAACAGGGGAGGAGGAGATGGGAATCTTTTTTTTTTTTTCTTTCTCTTTTAAAAAATTGAATTTTTACAATTTAATTGCATTTAGAACATTCACAGCATTGGACAACCCCATGTCTATCTAGTTACAAACATTTTCATCACCCCAAAAGGAACCCTCCCGCATGATTCTTATATGTAACTAGAGACCCAGTGCAGGAATTCATGCACGGATGGGGTCCTTCTGGGTGGCCTGCAGGGATTGAGCTGAAACCCGCAGTCCAGTCCAATGCCATTCCTACTCATCCTGGCCCCACTGTGCCTGCAGCAGGCTGGCATCCAATCCATCCCATTTTCTGACATCCCCCAAGGGGTCTCGGATTGAGAGAGGGCGTAGGCCAGGGAGGGACTGCAGAAGGGCCCCATGGCGTGTCTGGCCCATCTCGCTCAGCTCCAGATCAGCCAGCCAGACCCCAGCAGTAAGCTAACCTACCAGTTGAAGCATTTGCCCCCTGGTGGTCAGTGCACATCATAATAAGCAGTTGAACAGCCTTAACATATCATTAGCATATTATGCTTTGATTTGTTGGTTGGTTCTGCCATTTGGTCTATTTATATATTACCCTTTCATTATATAGGTCTAGTGGCCTGGTGCACGAAATTCGTGCATGGGGAGGGAGAGTCCCCTCAGCCAGCCTGTACCCTCTTCATTCTCGGACCTCTAGGGGAATGTCCGACTGCCGGTTTAGGCCCAACGTCTGTGGGATCAGGCCTAAACTGGCAGTCAGACATCCCTCTTGCAATCTGGGACCACTGGCTCCTAACCGCTCACATGCCTGCCTGCCTGATCACCCCTAACCCACTCTGCCTGCTGGCCTGCTCACCCCCAACTGCCCCTCCACCCTTCCAGCCTGATCACCCCTAATTCCACTCTCCCCCGCCGGCCTGCTTACCCACAACTGCCCTCCCATCCCCCTGCCGTCCTGCTCGCCCCCAACTGCCCTCCCCTGCCGGCCTGGTCGCCCCTGACGGCCTCTGCCTGAGCCCCACCACCATGGCTTTGTCCGGAAGGACGTTCAGAAGTCTCCAGATTACTTAGCATAATACTCTTTTATTAGTATAGATATTTAAGATAGTCCACCTCATAGAACCATGGCATGAATGGATGATGCTTGTCAGGGGCTGAGGGGAGAGGGGATAGGAGTTGCTACTCAATGGGTACAAAGTTTCAGTTACACAAGATGAGTAAGTTGTAGAGATGTGTAATAGTGTACCTATAGGTAAGAATGTACTGTATACTTAAAAATATGTTAAGAAGGCAGATCTCATGTTAAGTGTTTTTAACACAAAAAAGAAAAAAGAAAAACCCTTAGCATTAAGCAGTCACTCCCCATTCCCTCCTGCTCTTGACCCCTGATCGACCTTTTGGTGCTATCTATGCTGGGCATTTCATGTAATGAATTATATAATAGATAGTTTTTTGTATCTGGCTTCAAAAACATCAGGTTCATCCACACTCTAGCATGCTTTGCTTCTTTGTTCTTTTTCATGACTGAGTAATATTCCATTGCATGGATACATCACATTTTGTTTATTCATTCGCTGGGGGACATTTGTTCCCACCATTTGGCTCTAGTGAATAGTGCTGCTGTGGATGTGTATATACAAGTATTTGTGAGATTACCTGCTTCCTCCATTCATTTTTGCCTTGTATTACTATACCACGCCAGTCATCACCGTATTTTTTTCAAACCAGAAATCTTGCACTTGGTCTGTGTGAACGTTTAGGGAGGAAAGTGTATTCAGGGAAATCCTTTGTCTAATGCTGCCTCTGCTACACACCTATCCCAATCCAAGCCCTCCTAACTCTCTAGCCCCAGGCCACTTATTTGGTAAGTAATTCCCTTTTGCCTTCACGTAATTAGCGTGTGGAATGCATGCCCTATCTCTGCAGTGAGGGCCTTCAGGTCCAGGTCCACTGGGCTTCTGTGTCCCCCACCGTGTCCTGCATATGCTGGGTGACCTGAGCACTTCCAACCAGTTCTAGACGCGTGCCTGCTCTGTGCCACCTGTCTGCTGGTGACTGACCCTCCCCCACTCTCCCGTTTCCCTCTGCAGACGATGTGCTGACTAAAGACGCAGGCGAGTGTGTGATCTGCCTGGAGGAGCTGCTTCAGGGAGACACGATAGCCAGGCTGCCCTGCCTGTGCATTTACCACAAAAGGTACGAGCGGGGGCAGGGCCAGCTCAGCCACATCCCAGATCCCACAACGGAGAGAGACGGCAGCCCTCCCATTCTGTTTCCTTTGGTGGAGGGACGGCTCTTCCCCTCCCCACGCCCCACTCCCGGGATGTGAGTGGGGTTGAGACGGAGGCTGGCAGATGTGCTGAGTATAGGGCCGAGGGGAAGAGCCAGAGGTTTTGCTCTGGGCCGACGGCCTGGCTGGCTGCAGGGCGATGGGGAGACCTGTGGGGATACACAGGCCGGAGGTGCTAGGGTCCCACAGAGCCAACTTGATTCTTTACCGTCTCCCCAGGCTTTTCTTCCTCTGTGGGCCCTTCTGCTCCGCAAAATGAGGCCCCTCATCGGTGGGAGAGTGATGGGTGGAGGGGTGTGCTTGCTGCCCCTGCACCCACCCCTGCTCCCCGGGCCAGGAGGCAGGAATAGCCATGCGCTGGGGGCCAGGCACCGAAGCTGCTATAATTAGCAGGGCCGAGATTTGTCCTCAGGCTCCAGCAGGAGCCTCATTCTTGTTTCCAACTGGAAAGAAGACACCTCCCTCCCCAAGACGGAGGACGCTCTGTGCTGCCTGTGGCTGCCACCTGCTCTTGGCTCCTCGAGCCCAGAGCTGCTTCCTGACGCATGGGCTTTTCCAAAGCCCGGCTCACGGGGCCACTGGCCACAGGGCAGTGGTGGTGCCGGCGCGCAGATGTGGCCGACGCAGGGGAGCCTGAGATTGGCCTGGAGGAGAGGGTCTCGGTCCAGGGCCAGCCCGGAGTGCCACAGCTTCCTGGCTTGGCCCCAACCAGAACCAGAGGAGGAAATCTTTGGCTCTGGGGGAAATTATGCAAATTACCTGTCTGGATCCTGTCTTCAAAAATACCCAGATGTTGGTTTACAAATCAGAAGGCTGTCTTGGGGCAATCTCTGTTCCCTCTTTGATTCAGGCAGTTCTTTCTGTAAACACTGGAGACCAGGGTTTCACAGTCAGGCTCCTGTCCGGCTCTCCTTAGCAGTGTCCCTGAGCCAGAGGGCCATCCTTCTCTGGGATGTTGGCTGCTGACCACAGCCAACTGAACCAGGCAGCTGGGGGTCTCCTAAGAAACCACCCCCTAGAGAGGGAGCCTTAAAGCTGCTCCTTTGACTCGGGAGAGGGCTCCCTCCGGCCCCCAGAGCTCAGAATAATGTCCAGCCTTCGAGCCTTAGGATAGCTGGCTCGCTGCCCTGCACTCCGCCCCTACTCACTAGTAGCTGTTGCCACTGCCTATGTCCATGCAGGTAAGGCCTTGACCCTTCTCAAGGCCACAGCCCACCCTTCTAGCATCCAGACGTGCCCCGTCCTGTGCCCACTATACCAGGTTGGCTGCCCGGGCTGAGCCAAGGTCAGTCTTGGTGTTCTGCCTTCTTCCTGCTTCAGAAAGTGGGTATCTGGGGACACGCTTGTTTTCTCCTGGGGTCCTCGCAGGCGAGACTTAGAAAACCCCTACTCAGAAATCTGACCCTCGGAGCGAGCCCCCTAAGGCGCAGCCTGGTCAGCGGTAACGTGTCTCCCCTTGCCGCTCCCTGCCTCAGCTGCATAGACTCGTGGTTTGAAGTGAACAGATCTTGTCCAGAACACCCTGCGGACTGACCCTGCTGGGCTCGCTTGCTGACTCCTCTCAAAGGTGAGCCGGTGGTTGGGGTGCTCTGGGCCCAGGGATTGGGATCTGGCCCCTCTGGGGCCTGGGGCTGGGGACTGAGTTGCCCTTACATACCTCCAGGAGGGGAGCATCTTATCAGTTAGTGGTTCTATGGTGCGTTGGAGGGTGGGGGAGGGGGATTCTGGGAAGGCTAAGAGAAGCTATCTTGCATGGTTATAGAAAAACACACACACACACACACCTGCTCAGTGTAGTTGATCAGTTGATTCTTTGAGGAAAGACCAGTCTATTCCAGACGTCTAGGGCGAATCTCCCTGAAGAAGGTCCAGGAAGAGCCCCTTTGGAATGTGCCAGGTGGGAGAAGCCGCATGAGCTTGGGCCCCTGGGCTTGCACCTGCCTGTGCTTGCTGAGCGGCTAGGGCAAGTCCTCGCTCCTCGTCCCCCTGTGGACAGTTGTGGGACGGTGCATTGTCCCCTGTGGTACTCATCAGCGATCGTTCCACTGCTGGTGCTTCCCGCTTCAGGCCACCTCCCTCACACACACTGCCAGGCGGATCTGAGACCTCCAGGCCAGACCCAACCCAACCTCCCAGCTCACACACAGCACACGTCCTGGTTCCACAGCAGCCCCGCCAGCTACCTTCCCACAGTGTGCACACCCGTCCCCTGTAGAACCTTCTGGTCTGACCTCCCCTGTTCTCCCCCAGGCACCCTGCTTCACTGCTGACCACCCTCTCCTGTCCCCTCCAAATTCTGGGCTGGTACTTTACCTGGGAAACAGACAAAACCCCCAGGAAACCAAAACCCTGACTCCGCCTCCTCTCACATACAAAAGTTTTGGGGCCTCTCTCTCTCTCTTGTTTCTTTTTTGTTTTTGTTTTTTCTTTTGTGTTAGGTTTGTTTTATTTATTCCAAGTAAACTTCCAGAACAGCTGATGATGGCAGACAAATCAGGGACATTTGCTCTTTTTACCTTCACCTGAAAAACTGAGGACATGGGGAGAAGAAACAGTGAGGGTGAGAGTGAGGCAGAGGGTGTGGAGCCTGGCGCTGGAGTGCCGAGTCCAAATTCCCGGCATGATATTTGCCTTCTCGGGCCGAGGACTGGAACCACAGGCGCCCAGCCCGTCCTCACAGGCTGGCTTCAGCCCGGCGGGAGCACAACTCACGTATTGTGGTCCCCACAGGGACAGCCAGCCCCGCTCCCACGAGGAGGCTTCGGACACTGGGGCAGAGCTGAGCTGGGGACACCCGTGGGAACAGGGCGCCCCTGCGCACTGACTTCAGAGAATGGTTCTGCCTTTCTCCCCGAGGACACCAAATTCGATGAGTCATGAGTTTGAGAGAAGAAAGAATCGACCGCCCTCCTTCCCCTCACCCCTCATCCTAGGAGGGAAAGGGCATTTTCTTTCTCACCTTTGAAAGGCATTGTGGGTCTGTCTCTATAACGTGTTTACAAAAAAAAAAAAAAAAAAAAAATCATAAAAAAAAAGTCTAGTGTCGACTGGTGTTTTCGCCCGTGATGTTTACAGATTGCTGTCTGCTGCCCGGCTAGAACCCACCCAATGGCAAAGGGACAGAGCCAGGCTCAGTGCTGATGGTGCGAGAGACGCTCGCTCGTTCGCTCGGTCCTCCTGGCCCAGCGCCCCGTCCGTTTGGCCCTTGCCATCAACAACCGCTCGGCCTTGGTTTTCTTTGCCCGTTTTCCTGGCTTGATTTTTGCACTTTTCTCCCCTTGGGACCCTGAGATCTTGACTTCATTGCCAAAAAAACAACCCACGGAAGACCTCCCCCTTCATCCCTGACTCTTCTCCCTCCTTCCCTCCCAGTTCTGGTCAGTTCAGAGGACTTCACAATCACAAGTGTCCTGCAAAAATGCCTGAACATTTTCCTTAGGCCCTTGTGGATTTTTTTTTCCTGAAAACTTAAACCAACAGAAGACTTATTAAAGGGACATGTACAGCTACCCGTTTTCAGGCACTCCGTTTGAGAACATTTTAGCCATCGATGTTCACACGTGGCATCAGCTCACGCAAAATAGGTTTCTGTATTTATATATTCAAATACAAAGAAAACACCACCCTTATAAAATGTTTAAAAAAAAAAAATGTTCGAAGTTGGGGGCAAAGCTTTCTTCATTAGTCAAGATGTTTTGATATATGGTATTAAAATCATGTCTAATAAAAGATGTATTGTGTGACTTTATTTTAATGGTGCTGTTACACAATCCGGAAATGGGCGTTGTGCACCTGTCTCCCACTTCCTCCCCCCTCACCTCATTCGCCTTCCTTCAGGGTAATACTTGGTACTGTACGTGTGATGGGGTTTTCAGAGCACTCGTGCCTGGGTAGAGGGAACGTGGCATTCAGACCCCAGTCCCAGAGGTTCACTAGCCCTTCAAGCATCATGGAGTCAACCCGCCATCACCTGTGGAACCGTTGTGACAAAACACTTCAGCAAGATCCGCAGGGGCAATGATCTCGCAGCCACTGGAGGCTGCAAGGATGTGCGTCCTTCCAGCGCCCGGCCCCCTGCCCCCTTTCTTCCTCTGTTCCCCATCACACGTGCTGCCTGCCTGTTGCCCAGTCCATGCTCAGTGCTGACTCATGGGCATGCTTCATTGAGGCCCAGAGACAGGCCCTGTTATGGGGCTGAGCCAGCCCCGAGCCACTTGGGGCCCACAAGAGTTGGCACAACTTGGGCTGGGCAGGACGCTCCGGGCAGTGGATAGCACTGCACAGCTGGCCTCTCTGCCTGTGCTGCCGGAGCAGCATCCCAGAGCCCTCTGCGGAGCCTACGAAGGACCGCTCTGGAGGAGTCCGCTCCAGCCTCTGCCCCTCTCCGTGCTTTGTTGCCTCTAACCCCACCAGGCCCTGGCTCCGCAGCCGTCTTCCACCAGACGCTTCCTGAAGCACCTGCTCTGCGAGGGCGTTGCAGGCCCGCGAGCTAAGGGACAGGCACGCTCAGCGTGTTCAGAAAAATACGAAAGAAGAGTATGTGTCTGAGCTGGGACAGACATACCTTGGAGCCAGACCCTCCTGAAGCGGAGACCCCCCTGGACCAGTGATCACCATGGTGGCCAGGATGTGGGCTCAAAACTGTCTGCATGTGGCTCCTCAACTTGGCAGAATGATCTTGGGAAAATGACTTTGCTCATCTAAACTTCAGATTCCTCGCATGTGAAAGGACAAGGTCATGCAACTCAAAGGTCAGAGAGTCTGCCCAGAAGCCCCTGGCACGTGCATCGCAGGCTCTCTCAGCTACGTCACCACAGAGCATTGTTCTATTCACAGCACCGCCTGCTTCTGCCTGGCAACTGTGTCTCCCTGTTCTATATTTAATTCCTGCAGCACAGCTCGCCCTGAAGGAGATCTCCTTGCCTGACCCCTGGGCTGCAGGCAGAGGGCTATGTGCCCACCTCGGTTGCGTAGGCCTGGCGGCTTTGGCAACATCCTGCGAGCCAGGTGGGGCAGGGCCAGAGCCCACACCAGGTGCTATTCCAGGCTCCTGGGGCTGATGCTAACTCCCCTCCTCACCCCCAACAACTTGCCCTCCCACCTGACACACTGCAGCCCTCTGCAGACTACTGGGTCCTCCGAATCCAGACCTAGTTCCTGGGTGCCAGCTCCTGGGTGGGGATGGGCCAGGGTGTGTGGGCTTCCCAGGTGGAACTAATGTCTGTCATCGTCCCTCCTGACAGCTCTCAGAGGGGAGAGGAGGGCAGGAGCTGGGGGGTGGGTTCCACCCACTTTCTTTGGGGCCTTCCCGGTCAGGAGCACCTCACTAGTACAAAATCATCTAGTAGCATTTAATGTTGTTGAGGTTTATAGGAGAATGTCCTTATTCTTACGAGACAGATGGTGAATTATGTAGGCAAATGATGTCAAGAAATATGTAAATTTCAAACGGGTTTCTCCAAAATAACACCCAACAAATGAGACAAAAATATCCCTTGTTGAATCTTCAGTGGCTGGTATGTCCGTGAACAGTGTACTTGTTCTTTCAACTCTTCTGTATGTTTGGAATTTTTCCTAATAAAAACAACTGTGGGGAAATAGCCATTTGTTGAGCATCTACTAGTTGTCAGGCAGCCGGAGGCTTATCAGAGAAGAGCCCTGTCCTGCAGGAGGGAAACCTGGGAGGTGGGGTCTAGGAGCTGTGTCTCCGTGGAGTATATGAGGCCAACCTGTATGGGTGGTTTGGGAGGGACTACCGAGACCTGCCCCACACCACCCCTTGGCACAGCTACTGCTCCCATCTAGGGCAGCGGGTGGGGGTTGGGGGGGGCGCGGGGAGAGAACAAGTCACAGGGGAGCAAACTCCAGGATCAGCCCAGTGTTAGTTACCACGGAGGAAGGGTTCCTGGAACAAGTAGACTAATGCGTCACAGCGGGCTGCCTCTGCCCAGGGCCTAAACATCGATGGCAAGAGGTGAGGGGGTGGAGGATGGAGGCAGGGAAGGAACTCGGCTTGGAGAGGGGGGGGGGGGGGGGCGGGGTGCCCTGCCTGCCTGGCTGGCCAAGCCTGTTTCCTTAGGCGTCAGGGGATGAGGGAGTTGGGCCCACAGCTATATGCTCCTGGGGCCTGCAGCGGGTGGAGTTTAGAGATTGGCTTCCAGGACTGCATCCTGCCCCCTCCCTGAGGGCTGAGAGCTGTAGGCCCTGACTGGTAAGCTGGGCCCCAGCAGTGGCTGGGGTGTCGGAAGTTTATGGTGGCAGGCGCCCTCAAGTGGGCTTAGGGGGAACAACGGTCAGGTACCCCACACAGAAGCTCTGGCCTAGGATCCCCGGGCGCGGCACACCTGGTCGACAGATTCTGACTTGGAGGGCAAAAGAGCTGGGAGTTTTAATAAGTCACACCCTGGAGAGGTGTGGTACAAGGAGAGTCACCTCACTTCCATTCCCAGGGACTCGTAGCAGCTGCTTAAAGGACACGCACAGAATGTTCTAAGGCCCAGTTGGCACTCGGGGGTGGAGTCTGTTGTAAGTGA